GCAACCACACCCAGAAATTCGACATTTGGCCAGAACACCTTGTCAAAATGCAATACTATTTTATTCTCAATTCCCACCCCAAGGTCATCAATGGCAGCTCTTTTCCACTCTGGAAGCTTTGGTTCAAACTCGATGCTTCCTGACTTGAGCACACCAAGAGGAACAGCAATGATAGCAGCATCCGCCACGAATGTGCTACCATCTTCTACTGTCACCTTCACCCCGTTATAACGCCTTGCTACTCTTGTAACCCTAAGGATCATTTTCAAACCATACAAGTTTAGCTTACAAAGCAACTATATAATTTTTCTAGATATATAACCTAAATTGTTTAGATAAAAGTAGAGATTACCTGTGGGCCAAGCGGATGTCTAGACCTTTGGCAAGGGTGTTTATCACGGGAAGATAGCCCCTGACCATAAGCCCATGACCACCAGGGAGCAAAACTTCCTACAAAGAAAAAGGAAAATAAGCAGACTATTAAAATTATAAAACCAAAGACTAAGATGGAATGAAACCACCAGAAGTATAATAGACACGGAGTATAATAGGGGATACAGGAGAACAACTAATAGTTGAAGATCAAGTTCAACACATGACAATGTAATCTCAAAGATAGACATATACCACCTATTTAGAAAGTCAGACAATTTCTCCAAACAGGTTCAACAACATTCCACATGCATGGGTACTAAACCTTGTCTGACATAGGCACATGCTCATTTCTTAACTACTCCAACTTTCCACCATTAAAATCTTTAATTCTCCATAATATAAAATATATCAACATAGGATTTTATTTGTGCATGCGCTGTTCTGCTGGTACATAAGTTGTAATGTCTTACACACTACTTCTATAGTAGGTCATATGGGTGGGCTGCTCAGCGGATGGAAACTTGACAATCCAAAAATGCAAGCAAACCCAAGTTACCCAGATCGCTTGGGTCAGTTTCATGCGGACCACTTTTTCCAGTTTCTTTGTCAGCTTAGATAAATAGCGCGCACATCTGATTATTTTACAAAACACGCTTTACTATTTAAATAACTATAGAAATAAATTAAATGATG